TGGGTGACAAAGATCGAGTCTACCAATTCCCCATGGGTCTCGATCACGCCACCTATGGTAGTCTGATCACTCAGATTCTTAACATGACTCCATTGCCCACAATCAATTGAGTCTTCTCTATGGTCTGTCAAGAAGAAACACACAAAGCTATTGTTCGTACTACTGACGCCCCCACAGATGCGTTGGGTTATGCAACTCCAAACACTGCCTCCAAAGATACCGATGATCCTTCTAAACCGAGAGTAATATGCACCTATTGTGGCAAACCCTATCACGATGTTTCCAAGTGTTATCAGCTGGTTGGCTATCCAGAACGTCCTCCTTCTACACGCGATCGTGGGCGTGGTCGTGGACGCCCATCCAATGTCCGTTCACAACCGTCTTCTGCCCGTGCAGCTCATACCACGAACACTTATGCCCAGCACCTACTGCATCCTCATCACCTTCCATCACCATGGATGATTTTACTCCTGAAGTCCTGCAACAACTCATGTCCTTGGTTGTTTCCTCAACATCATCCGTTGACAAACTCAATGGTAAGATCCTTCACCTATATTGGATCATCAACAGTGAAGCGTCCCAGCACATGACAGGCAATATTTCTCATCTCTCCAACCTGCGCACCATATCTCCTTGTTCGGTTAGCTTTCCAAATGGAGTTCGCACCACTGCTACGCAATGTGGCAACATTACTTTAGGCTCATTCCTTCATCTGTCACCTAATACAGAGCCTATAGCAACTACACAGCTTCTTATAGCAACTGGCTGAGAGCTTGCTTCATCTACAGCTGAACCTCCACCTGTTACGGAGCCTATAACAACTACACAGCTCCCTATAGAAACTGGCCAAGAGCAACGCACCAGATGTCTGCCTTCTCATTTGCAAGACTTCATCTGCAATACAGTAGTTACACCCCTTCCACATCTCCTCACTCCTCCAATTGCCTCAGGTATCTCATATCCTCTAAGTCATTTTGTCACTAATGCATGTTTTTCTTCGAAACATCAGCTATTCCTTGCAACCGTTGATAGCAATTCAGAGCCAAAGACATTTAAAGAAGCAATGCAATCCCCTCAGTGGCAAAAAGCCATACAGCTGGAAATTGCTGCCCTTGACGACAATAAAACTTGGTGTATTACACCACTTCCTCCAGGCAAGAAAGCCATACCGTGCAAATGGGTCTACCGCATTAAGTACAATGCTGATGGATCAATAGAAAGATACAAGGCCCGTTTAGTAATTGCTGGAAACAATCAGGTAGAAGGAGAAGATTACAACGAGACATTTGCCCCGGTAGCAAAAATGGTAAGCGTGAGAGTATTCCTATCAGTGGCTGTAGCTAAACAATGGCATATTTTCCAACTCGATGTCCAGAACGCATTTCTTCATGGAGATTTGGCTGAGGAAGTCTTCATGCGATTCCCTCCTGGCTTCTCCAATGGTAAACCCGGTCATGCATGCAAGCTTCAACGCTCTCTTTACAGTCTTAAGCAGTCTCCAAGGAACTGGTTTGCAAAACTACGCACGTCTCTCCTCACTTTCGGATTCCACCAATCTCATGCAGATTACACTTTGTTTACTTACACTCATGGATCACATTCAGTCACAATCCTAGTTTACGTTGATGATATCCTCTTGGCAGGGGATGATTTAGCTCTATGTGATCGAGTCAAAGCACATCTGCGCACCTGGTTCAAGATCAAAGACTTAGGCCACCTAAAATATTTCCTTGGTATTGGATTTGCTAGGAGCAAATCTGGCTTATTCCTTAGCCAACGTAAATTTGCATTGGATATCCTACAAGAATGTGCTCTTCAAGGCTGTAAACCAGCAACATATCCAATGGATCCAAACCATAAACTAGCTCTTGCAGATGGTCTTCCTTATGAAGATCCTAAACGCTACTGTCGCATCATTGGATGTTTAGTGTATCTCACTACCACACGTCCGAAATTGAGCTATGTCGTGCACACTCTCTCTCAGGTCTTGCAGAATCCCATGCAGCTGCATTTTGATGCTGCGATTAGAGTGCTACACTATATCAAGAAGAATCCTGGCCAAGGTCTTCTTCTACACTCTGATTCCGATCTCCTTGTTAGAGCCTACTGTAACTCAGATTGGGCTAGTTGCCCACTTACCCGCAAGTCTGTAACGGGGTATTACATCACACTCGACCACTCTCCCACCTCATGGAAAACCAAGAAACAACACACCATTTCTCGTTCCTCCGCTGAAGCAGAGTATCGCGCAATGGTAGCAGCTGCTTCTGAGCTCATTTGGATCAAATCCTTCCTGAGTTCACTTGGTCTTCCTCATACAGAACCTATGAAGCTTTTCTGTGACAGTCAATCAGCCATCCACATTGCTACCAATCCAGTCTTCCATGAGCGCACAAAGCACATCAAATTAGATTGCCATTTCGTCCGAGAACACATCCTCAATAAAGCAATATCCACTCAACACATTAGGACACAGTCTCAACTAGCTGACATTATGACAAAAGCACTAGGTTCGAAACAGTTCGATTTCTTAGTTGCCAAGTTGGGCATTGCATCCCTCCATGCACCAACTTGAGGGGGAGTATTAGGAGTTTGTTATTTGTTGTTACAACTAATATAGTTCAGTTAGATTATTATCAGATTGTATTGTTATATCAGATAAGATTAGCTAGCGTAGGATTAGCCTTCTCTGTTTTCTGTTTTCAAGTATTTAGCTCATTGTTCCTTAGTTGTAGCAGTTTCTGTTGTAATCCTTTGGGTCTATATATTCGACCCCAACATTGAATGAAATCAAGTTGCTGATTCAAAGCACCTTCTGTTAAGTTCCATGCATGAGGGGATCAAACACTCATGAAAAAGAAATTGAGTATTAATGTAAGGGGTCGCGCAACTAACAATATTTATCGAGAATATAATTTCCAACAATACGTTATCAACTAAATTAGGATATTTTGACCTCAAATGAGTCAAATTGCCTGACAAACAATCATGAAATCTTACAAAAAATTATTTATAAAAATAACCTCCAGTACATGGTATCTCTCTCACACCTCTTATGTCCATTGTTCCTCACTTTTCCTCTTACTAATAATTTTTTTTTTCTTGAAACAAAATAATTATGCCATCAACTTTGTGAGTTCATCATATTCATGATCTTTAGAGGTTATATTATAAAAATTTAATCTAGTGATTCTTTTTATGGGATATGATAATCAGCTGCCTGAGAAATGTGAACTGGGTGGGTCCAATATAATTTTTTTTTTTTCTCTTTTTTGTTCAGTTATACTCTTCATAAAGCTAAGTTTTGGCCAGATGAGACTGTTTCACATGAATATTCATAAATTTTAATAAGATCCTACTTGTTTAAAGTTTAAGAATATTCATAAGATTCTACTTATTTAAAATTTATAAAGAGAGAGAGACACAAAATTTTAATAATGTCATATGAAATTATCCACTGATGAGCTTAAATGAACAACCCTCGTTCCGCCCCACTAATTAATGATCCTCCAAGCTTGACCTTCATTCCTTCATCGTCATTACCTGAATTTTGCAGATAATAAAAATGGATATAGAAAGAAACATTACACATAAGAGTGGGAAACTAATTTGACCACAACACTTGTCAGATTATAAGAGACTTTAAAAGGGCCTTTACTTACATATTATCCTGAACAATTTTTGTTATAGAAATATAAAATTATAGATTTGGATCCTCTCATGTAAAAAAGTGATCATGTTATTTGATCACAATTACTCATTTAAGAATCACACATTTTTTCTCTTTCTTACGACATCATTAATGAATTGTTGTGATCAAATAACATGACCACATAATCACTTTTTCACATGAGAGGATTCAAATCCTAAAATTATTAATATAGTTTTACCCAATGTTTTAATGTTTTGGGCTAAAGTAGTTCTTTATATGGTATCAGAGTCTTAGTCTCACGAATTCGATCTTCACTGCCCCCGTTTAATTAATAAGTAATTAAGTCTTGTGTAGTTTTTAGTACAGATATGTGGATCTGGACATTATTCATCCCTTAAGTTCAACGGACTCTTGTGTGAAAAAATGTGTTAGAGAAATATAAAATTATTATTGTAACCTTACCTAATATTTTAAGATAATTTTGGATTGGAATAATTCTTTATAATTTTAATGGATAGTTTCAAGTTATTTTGTTAATAACACGTGCGTAATTGATATATATGGTTTATTCTTCTGTAACACGTATGTGTCTTAAAGAAGCAAACCAATAAGGCATGTACCCCAAATTGGGTCAAAACATTTACTACTTTATCCACTACGAACATGTTTTATATAATTAAATTCGTTTACAAATTTTTTTAAATTTTTCTTACAAATTATACTATATTTTTACGGGAGAATATAGTGTAACTATTGTTCTCCTGTGAAAACACAATGTAGTTTGTAAGAGTTTATAAACAAGAAAGTTTGAAAATATAATTTGTCCCTAATTAATATTTAGGTAATTATTTGGCTAATTCATTTTATTTTAAGAGACAAAAAAAAAAAATTCTGAATAACCCCCACCCCAGATAGAGAGAGGGAGAGAGACTGAGAGAGTGATGCATAAGGATTCATGGCATGCGCTATGCATGTATATGGGTGAGCGTCAATGACTAATCCTCGTTCCGCCCAGTAATTAATGACTAATTACACGTTAATGCAAATTCAAATGCATATGATTATGATGCAGCCACCTTCTATAATTGCCATTCAATGGCTCCACAATTCAATGCCAAATTTAACTTCTAACACTTTCTCTGAAAAATCGTAACCCCTCCTTCATTTTAATTCTAATTCTAATTCATCCCTTTGCCTCAACATCTCTCTCTTTATCATACCCATTGTCATTGATGCCTCTCCAAAATATACATATAAATACACATATTTTCCCCCTTTCCCTCTTGAGACAGAGTGAGTACACTAACACTAACACTCCTCACACACCCATTTTCTCATTCACACTGATATGGATTTCTTCACCGAACTTGATTTCCCAAAACTTGAGATTCCTCATGACCTCAACTGGTTTTCCTCTCCTCAACAAAACGAGACAGACAAGTAAGAATGGTCACTAATTTCATCCCAAGCTTTAATGTTACGTTTGTTTGTTTTTCTTTTATTCGATTGTTTTCGGTTATACTATGATGATTTCTTATTGATCACTTGGAAAGAGTATTCCTAGAATGATTTCTGGAACATTCTCTTGCGACTTTCGAGGTCGATAACGACTTTTGTTTTCGTGTCTTGCGCAATACTGTTTCCTTTTTTTTTTCTGTGTGTGTTTTGTAATGTTGTATGTAACAGAATCATGGAAATTTCGCCATTAGAGGGTTTCTTCGAGTTTGATTGGCAAACCCAGTTGCCATACCAAAACAAGAGACTTTGCTTCAATGAGTTCCCAGATCTTGAAAATTTCAACTTCGACTTCAACCTTCCATCGCTTGATGAATATTTTGCGGTGCACGAACCGAAGCCCCTGAATATTGTTGTTCCCCCTTGGGGGCATTGCAATCGTGAGTGTGGTATTGGCGAAACTTCGGGGAAGATTGGAGGTGGGTTTGGGACTTCTGTGAAGAAAGAGGTGGAGAATGAAGAGTTGTCAACTCCAGTTGCTAGTGGAAGCAAAAAGAAGAGGTCAATTGCTTTGGAATTTGATGAGATAAAGAAGCATTTTGGGCTTCCCATAACAGAAGCGGCAAAGGAAATGAATGTTGGGTTGACCCTGTTGAAGAGAAGGTGCAGGGAGCTCAACATCACGAGGTGGCCTCACAGGAAACTAAAGAGCTTGAAGTTACTCATCGACAACGTCAAGGTATCTATGGGTGACTACTTATTTGTTTGAAGATTAATTTACGAACTTTTTATTTGTACTGCTTATAGTATATAATATAGTCTCTAACTTTGTAAATAAAAAATTTGTAAATATAATATATCTTTTTTTTAATGTTATTCATTGGGTCATTTGAATAGTTGAATTTGAGTTGGGTAGAATCACACGAAGAACAAAATTTTATTATCAAGTTTTAACACAGTTTTTAGGGACTTGAGCTTATTAAAGAATTGAAAAAACATTCTCTTTGTATTACTCAATTTTATGTGCCTTGTGTCTTTAGAATAATTTGCTTTTATATGACTCAAGCGATAAGAAGCTTATTTCCCTTAATTAAAATGTTGGATTTTTAAATATGAAAAAAAAATTAACAGTTATATGACTAGGAATGAAAAGGGATGATAATTTTTCTTTAGTCTCCTCGATCGATTTATCCTTCGAACTAGTCTGATTCGAGCATGGTTGGATCCTATAGAAGGGGTGGCTCTTCTAAAATCATTTTTTTCTCATTCATAAGGCTCGAACACGAAATCACTAATTAAGGGACAAGCTTTTTATCAGTTGTGCCAATGGTGTTTGGTGGGGGATGATAATTTAAAACTTGAAATTTTGTAGTTTGAACCCTTTAGTGGGCAATGGAATCGAGAAGATTAACATGAAGAATATTCAGTGTCATTAATTGTTAATTATCTAGTGGTCAATGGTTCAAAGTGTTTTGTCTCTGATGCAGGAAATGGGTTTGGCAAACGAGGTTGTCATGTTGGAGAAACACAAAATGATGTTGGAGAGACTACCGGGAATGGAACTGAATGAAGAAACCAAGAAGCTGAGGCAGGCTTGTTTTAAAGCTAATTACAAGAGGAGAAGATGTTTGGCCTCCCAATCTTGACCTTCATGGTCATTTTCTTGGAATTTTGCAGGTAACAAAAGTTGACATACAAACAAACACAACACAGAATAGGAGTACAGAGAAGGACTCCTTGGTAGATATCTTCGGTTTATACTATAGATTAGGAAACTAATTTGACCGCAGCACATGTTTTTTTGGCGAGTTTAGTTGGAATAGAAGAGGCCAAGGCGGGCGTATCTAGCTGTAATAATAAGGGCCTTTACTTCTATTTTACCCTGACCAGTTATTCCAGTTGTCTTTCAATGCAGAAGTACTTTTGGAAGCAGATTTTGTTTCTTGTATATTCTTGTTAGTTAATTGGTATATATGGTTTGTTTTTCTGTAGCACGTATGTGTCTTAAAGAAGCAATCCTGCAAGCAAATACGTGGAAATGGGTCAAAACATTTGTCCACTTCGTCTATGAGAAATGTTTTTGTTGGATAGCATCAAGTTATTGGAAAAGATGTGTATTATTTTAAAGGAGGTAAAATTGTGTCATTTTAAGTGAGAGAAAGAGATAGATAAAGAAGGAGAGAAAAGTGACAAAAAATATAAAAGTATGAATCTCACCTCTTTATGAGAGTAAAATGACATAAGTTTTGTATCATTTAAGAGGATAAACATTTTTTCCTAAATTATTACTTATATACTGAAATTTTCCGTTCACTTATTAATGAATGACTGGGATTTCTCACAAACCGACGAGATGATGCATTCCGCGGTGGAATACCTATGGAATACATAATTTCAACATTCCTCCTACTATGCACAAATAATCATGATCTGATTATAAGCATTTAAAAACCTCGTTTTACTCTGCTTTATATTGTTTATTGCAGCTACATGGAACAAACTGCTTAAAGCTTTTTCGAAATGCTTTCCCTGCTGACTATAAACTGTCTCACCTATATTCCTATAATGAAAATATGACACATGTGCTGATATGTTTTCTGAGAAGATAAAAAAAAATAATTTTAATACTTTGCAAATATTATATTTTTGGAAATACATAATTTGTGATTTAACCATAATAGAGATGTCTCATTTTGAACGAGAGTAATGCTTCTGTGATTTAGATATCTGATTGACAAATTCAAATAAGACTCTGACTGACAGGTTGCAAAGAAAGTCAACGCAAATCCTGTGCCCCAATAGGATTGTTGGGGTGGTGGCATTGTTGGGATAACATCCTCGGGACCGCGAAGGCTTGGTAATGCTATAGGCTTCTAACTTATTTCATTTTTTTCTCTTTTTAAGTGGTTTAGGCTAGAGGCTATGAACAGGTGCTGTTATTTATGATTTGTAAGCCTATTTTTATCCTCTTTGTAAATTGAGTGTGGTAACGAGTGCAATCAATAATATATACCAAATAAAAAAATAAAAAATAAAATAATATATACCAAATATTATTGTGCATAGCCCATATTAAGTGAATTAGGGTAAATTCTATGTCTTCGTTTTCTTCTCTTCTTTTCTTATTCGTGATCAGGCGTGTAATGTTGATAAATGAGAATGACTCATGACTATACGTCCATGTTTTATTAGATGTTTAATAATTATAAATTTGAGGCATATATATATATATATATAGGTAAAACATTTCTCCGGTCAATGAAGATAAATTATCTCCGATGAACACAAAACGACGTCGTTTTGTGACGAAAATCAAGGTATTTTTGTAATTCTAATTTATTGCAGGATTATATTAGTCTTTTAACATTATAATTTTTTAATCTTACAACTTAAAACGACGTCATTTTGAGCTCACTGGAGATAACTTTATTTCCAGTGACTAGAGAAACATTTTTCCCTTTATATATATAGGGTTTTATAAAAGTTATGTTGTAGGAAAAGTGATTGTGTTATGTTATAGAGATTCGTTTTGCATGTCGTAATTTTATTTTATTTTTGCTCCAAAAAATGCGGGCCCCACAAAATGTGTATGTAGGAAACTTTTTCTTATCAGGTTAAATGATGAATGCAAAACTCATATATATATATATATATATATATATATATATATATATCATTTGATAAAATAACATTATATTTATTTTTTTTTAAAATTATTTTCTTATATAAATTTATCATTAATTTTAAAAATAAAAATTTGGTTTTCTTTATATAAAAACTTCACTTTCCTTCGTTTTTTTTTAATTTTGTTATTTATGATTTTTTGTGTGTGGCTAATTTGAATTCTTTTATTAGAAACAGTGATAGATTTTCTTGTACCAAAAAAAAAGTGATAGATTTTCAATACAGAAAAATAGACGAATTCATTTTTCTTCTTTAAAGAAAATCAAGAAAATTTCGTGGAACTTTGCAGATAATAAAATTGGAGATATAAACAAACACTACACGGAATTGGTAGATATATTAGGTCTAAAGAAACTAATTTGACTTCGAATCCCACCAACACCATCTGGGGAGGGGCATAAGTACCGTAATCTTTGGACTCGCATCCGAACTCTGAATTAGTCCTATAGGCGACTCAAATAGTCAAACTTGTAGGGATACCAAGAAATTCTGATTCAATTCAAAGAAGTAATTATGATCAGTTTCCAAAAAAAGAAGTAATTTGACTGCTCCAGATATCTTTTTATGCAAAATCACTTTTGGAAGAGATTTCGTTCTTGGATATTCTAGTCAGTTAATTGATGTACGTGGTTTATTCTTCTGCAACACGTATGTGTCGAAAAGAAGCAAACCAGCAAGCACGTGCCTCGAAATGGGTAAATACATTTGACTTCTTTATCTACCAGGAAAAAGTTTTGGTAATGAGCCAGGATAGGATTCAATTATTATAGTTACTGTTTAAACCTCGGTAAATTACAATTTATCACTTTTTACTTAGGTAGTGTTTGGTGGTTCGGTAGAAATTTTTTTTTACTAAAGAAATGTAATTGATAAGGATATGGTTGAAAAGTGAGTTTGGTAGGAAGATGTAAAAAAAGTTGTTTGGTTGACCTAAATATTACCAGAAAAATTTATTTAAATATGCAAAATTTATATTTGGAAGAAACTTTGCACCTGTTTTTTCATTCCCCCAGTAATCTCAAAATACCACATCTCAAGTGATATTTTTTAACAGTGAATTTCATCTAAAAATCAACACAAAAGTCATTTTCTCATCTATCCTATTTGCCTGGTATTTTTTGAAAAAACCTGAACCAAACGTGATATTTTTTAATATCCACTTACACTTTCCCATCAATCCCAAAATAAACCGTCAACCAAACACTACCTTAGCTTCTTTTTTTTTCAAAAAAGCACCCTATATTTAATAATTAATCTAATTACATTACATTATAATAATAATAATTAAATAAACTTTATCTACTATATTGTTTTCTTTTTCACAGTGGTAAGAGATTTTGTTAGCTGTTATGCAGATAGCACGTCCAAACAAGCGGTTGAGATTTTGCAAAGAAGCGGTTAAAATTAGGAAATATGCTTAATTATTGTAACGATATAATATAAGTAATTGGTATATCTCAATTTAAAGCACAAGGTGATTTTTTTTTTTTAAAAAAGGGTGATAAGTAGTAATTTACCTTTAAATTTCAAAACATGAGGTAGAATCACGTTATAATAGTGAAACATATAATTTCTACATTCTTTCTGCCATACATCTAGTATAGAGCGAGTGATACTAATATTATCTGATGATTTTTCCCAAAAAAATATTATCTGATGCTAAATATTTTTTTTAAAGAAAAAACCCTTTACTTTATTTTTTATTGTCTGTTACAACTAGGGTTGACAAAACGGGTTCGGCTCGGCGAGTAAACTCGCTTAGCTCGGGCAGGGCTGACTGAGTTTTATAGCCCACTCTCAAGAGCGGGGCGAGATAGGCTTACTTGTTTTTTTTGCTGGATTAATGGCGGAGAGGGACAGATTAGTGTAAAATAAGGTCAAGCTGGTAGACCAAATTTTTGAGCCACTCTCAAAAACAAAATTGGGCGAATTGCCTTCTTTACCACCTCTAATTGCAATCCATATAACCAATTGCTTAAAGCTTTCTCAAAATGCTTGCCCTGTGATTATAAAATGACATTATTAGTAGTGTAAATGGTCAGCTGAAGATTTATGGTTCGATCTATATCAAGTCAGACTCAGCCTATTATATATAGTTGAATGAAACAGACTCAAGTCTTAAAAAAGGCCTATTTAGAAAGTAGACCATGTGCTTTGTTTTCCAAGTCTATAAGCTTACAGGACGACCTATATCATATTATTTTAAATAAGAGAAATAAATTATTATTTTAATGATTTTGAATAATAAATTAATATTTTTTTAATATTTTTTAAATTATTAAATGCTTAATACCCTGAAATAAGCTAACAGACCTAAATTAATATTTTTTATTTTTAAATATAGGTCATACCAAATTTATAATTTAAGTCTATACAAAGCTAACAAATCAATTCAGGCCTAAAATATTTTATACAGACTTGACCTCTTTGTGGCAAAGCGTAACTCAACCCAACTAATTTACACCCTTAGACATGGTTTAGATAATTAGCTGACAATCAAAAGGTTTGCTTAAATGGTGAAAGGGAATATGTAATTTTTGATTAATATGCTGTCATATGTTTGAATTATAAATATATTAATTTCTTTTTATAAACTCATGTTGCTAAGCAGCAGGACATTTGTGGAGAATAATGTTCCTTCTCAGTATTCTCATATCCTCTCCCATCTCCTTGATCTCTCTAATGGCTCGGGTTCCGTTGGCAGACCCCTAATGAGAGCCCCAACGAGGGCAATTGTTAGAATTTAAAATGCGAAAATTGAAAATAAAGTTATTTTTTGCTATTCCAAAATTACATCATCTTGAAGATTGAAGAAATTAATAAGGGTTGTTTTGATAATTTTTTTCACTTTTTTATTATATAAGTTTTATTAAAAAATATCTCTCATTTATTCTCCTAACGTGTCGAAATCTAACATTTTTTAGAATTAATGTGTCAGAGTGTCGAGTCGTGTCGTGTCCCGTATCCCGTTTCGGTATCGGTGCTACCTAGCTAAAAAGTTTGACACCAAATATTAATT